TCCAGGGAAAGTCACGTCCGCAGCGAGCAGTCCCTGTGTCAGCACAGCACGGGGTCGGCGGCTGATCGGCCCTGCTGGAGCTGGGAGAAGGGTTTTCCTAAAAAAACCCTTCATTTGGGAAACTTTTCTCTCCTGGATCGCTGGAAACCTCTATAGCGTTTGTGGGATGAAATCCCGACACACAATCCGTGGGTTAACATGGAGGGGCACCCTTGGAATAGCCAATATTGAGGGATGCTCTTGGATTGTCCAACACTGAGGGATGTTCTTGGAGTATCCAACGTGGCAGGATGTTCTTGGAATGTCCAACACAGAGGGATGCTCTTGTAATAGTCAGCATTAAGGGTTTTTCTTGGAATGTCCAACACAGAGGGATGCTCTTGAAATGTTTAACATGGAGGAATTATGAACACTATTGGAAATTTGCACCTTTAGCCCCAAAATGAGGAGTCTGGGGATTTTTCCCTGTGCTGTTCCCAACGAGGAAGCACCTGGAGGGATAATTCCCTGTGTGGGGCTCCGTTGTCACGGGGTCACCAAACCAGCGTTTGGCTCCATGGGGTCCTCGGGGTGCCCTCAGGAGCCGGAGGCTTCCAGAATCATGGAATATCCTGGGCTGGGAGGGACCCCCAAGGATCAGAGTCCAGCTCCTGGTCCCGCACAGCCCGCCCCAAAATTCCCGCCTCCACGTGGCTCCCCACCCCTGCAGCCCCTCCATGGCCCAAGGAGCTCCCGAGAACTCACCCTGTTCCGTGTCAGTTCCTTCCCAGACACCCTGGAGGCAGGAGACACGTCCCCGTCCTCGTTCTCGGCGCGCCCGTCCCCGCACGTGACCACGGCGAGCGAGAGCGAGCTCAGCACCACGGCCACCGAGCTGCTCCAGGACTACATGATGACGGTGGGGGCACTGGGATGATCCTGGGATTTGGGATCGGGACCCTCGGGGCGCTGGGATGATCCTGGGATTTGGGACCAGGACCCCCAGGGCGTTGGGATGCTCCTGGGATGTCAGATTGTGGCCTCAGAGGGAGGGATGTGGGGTGTAGGAGCAGCTCGATCTCCTCCTTCCCAGGCTGTGCCTGGAGGGCCTGACTATGGGCTCATGTCGTGGAATCTTGGAATGGTTGGGGTGGGAAGGGAGCTTAGGGATCATCCAGTGCCACCCTGCGCTGGGGCAGGGACACCCTCCACTCTCCCAAGTTTCTCCAAGCCCCGTCCAACCCGGCCTTGAACAATTCCAGAGGTGGGGCAGCCACAGCTTCTCCGGGAAATCCACTTCAGTCCCTCACCACCCTCACAGCATTTCTTGCCAATATCCCATCTAAATCTCCACTTTTCCAGTGGGAAGCCATTCCCTGTGTCCTGTCCCTCCATCCCTTGTCCCCAGTCCCTCTCCAGCTCTCCTGGAGCCCCTTTAGGCCCTGCAAGGGGCTCTCAGCTCTCCCTGGAGCCTTCTCTTCTCCAGGGGAACCCCCCCAGCTCTCCCAGCCTGGCTCCAGAGCAGAGGGGCTCCAGCCCTGGGAGCATCTCCAGGGCCTCCTCTGGACTCTCTCCATCTCCCACAGGAGCATCCCCCAGTTTGTCTCCTTCCCCCTGTCCAAAGTCACCCATATCCACAAGTCCCAGCCCCAGCGACACCCAGAGCCTGTCCCTGCTTTCCCATTGGGATGAGCGGGTCCCTGGCTGCAGCCAGTGCCATTCCCAAGCCCCGGTGCCATGAGTGCTGTCCCCCAGCTCCGGACCAAGCTGTCCTCCCAGGAGATCCAGCAGTTTGCCATGCTGCTCCACGAGTACCGCAACGGGGCCTCCATCCACGAGTTCTGCATCAACCTCAAGCAGCTCTACGGGGACAGCAGGAAATTCCTGCTCCTGGGTGAGTGCAGGAGAGCTCCAGAGGTGGGAACTGGGTGCTAAGGGACAGGTGGTGGGATGGGACTGAGGGGGGAAGGGGTCAGGGCACAGGGAGGCCTTGGGGTCACCACACGAGGGGAATGTCTCAATCCACCACTCCTGTGGAGATTCCTCCTTCCTGAGAGCAGCTGGGCCATCCCTCCCAGCTTATCCTGGTTTGAGTCCCTGCCTTGGAGCTGTTCCCTGTTCTCTCCTGGCTGTGGAGCACCTGGGAACCTCCTCCCAACCTGGGAGTCTTTCTCAGACCTCCTCCAGAACAAGGGAATCTTCTCCAAACCAGGGAACTTAATCCAGACCTGGGAACCTCCCCCAGACCTGGGAAATCTCCAGGCCAGGGAATCTCCTGCCAACCTGGGAATTTCCTCCAGACCTGGGACTATTAAATAACCTGGGCTTAAACACCTGGATCCTCTCACCTGGCCTTTACTATCCAAGGAAAAACAGGCCAGGAGTTTAAAATCCTGACAGGATAGGAGCAGTTTGTCTGACCACACCCAGGGCCTCCCTCCTGGCCTCTAATATCCAAGGAAAACAGACCAGGAATTTAAAATCCCCCCAGGATCGAAGCAGTGTGTCTCACCTGGGCCCTGCTGGCCCTTGGGGACACCGAGGGGACAGGGCGGATGTCCCTGATGGGACAAATTATTGGCATAAACTCAGCAAAGCCGAGCAAGGAGTCGGGTGAGGAATTAGATCCTTTGGAGTTGGAAAATCCCCCTGGAGCCAGATTTTGCCCTCAGTGGGTGGTGGCTGCAGGTCCCAGGTGTGAATGGGAGACCCTGGAGCTCCCCGTCCCCCCAGAGAGGCTCCTGGGCTCTCCCAGAAGGCTCGGGAGCCTCGGGAACACCGTGCAGTGAGCAATCCCACGGATACCTGCCCTGAGCGCGCGTCTCCGCGTCCCACGCTCCAGCCCCGCTCCGTGCTCTCTCCCGGCTCCAGGCCTGCGTCCCTTCATCCCGGAGAAGGACAGCCAGCACTTCGAGAACTTCCTGGAGACCATCGGGGTGAAGGACGGGCGCGGGATCATCACGGACAGCTTCGGGCGCTACCGCCGCTCCCTCGGCGCCGCCTCCGCCTCCAACGGCACCGGCGCCGCCGGCAGCTCCGACGAGCAGTCGGTGCCCTCGGAGGAGGACGAGTGGGACAGGATGATCTCCCACATCAGCAGCGACATCGAGGCGCTGGGCTGCAGCCTGGACAGGGACTCGTCCTGAGGGGATGGGGCCGGACACGGGGGGCCGGGATACGGAGCTGCCCCCGGGGGGATCCCGGCCCGGCCCTCGGAGGGACACCGGGACACGGAGGTGCCTTTGGGGGGGACGTGGAACGTGGACCTGCCCCTGGGGGGGACACGGAGCTGCCCTTGGAGGGACACCGGGATGTGGAGTTGCTCCCGAGGAGAACACGGAGCTGCCCCCAGAGGGGGACATGGAACATGGAGCTGCCCCTGGGGACCCCAGATTGGCCCTCGGAGGGACCCAAGAACACCAACCTGTGCCCTCGGTGGGGGGACACGGACCTGCCCTTGGAGGGTCCCAGAACATGGATCCTTCTGCAGGACCTGGAGGCTCCAGCAGGATGGATTCACTCTCCTGGCCTCATCAACGGCTCCAGGGGCAGGAACGGCTCCGGTGTGGATTTGGGGGGCAGAGCTGGATTTGGGGTTTGGATTTTTGGGGACAGGTCTCTTTCTGAGCATCGAGGTTTCCTTCCAAGGGGATGGATCTCCCCAGAGGATGGATCTGCTCTTGAGCATCCAGATCTCTTCCTGAGGGGCTGGACCCGCTCCCTCCCCAGTTTACAGTTTGCACAGCAGGTCCCCCATAACCCCCCCCCCGATCCCCCTAATGAAGTTTTGCCACAATGTGAATCATTTCACCCTCTCGGCCCTGGTGTCGGAACATTCCGGAACATTCTGGCTCCCCCAGTCTGGGATTTCCCACAATCACCCCCTGCCCATCCCGGGGGTACTGGTGGGGGCAGGAGCTCAGGGGGTGCTGCTGGGGCACCCCAGGACCCCCAGAGCTGATCCGGGACCCCCCCTTCTATCTGCACCCCCTGATGGGAGTCCCACTTTGAGGGGGGGGGTGTCCCTAAATGGGATGGGGGGGGCCCAGTTAATCCCACAGCCACAGCAGAGGGGTGCTGCCCCCTCCATGGGTGCCCGGGAGGGGGAGAAAATGGGCCCCTCCACCCAGAGGCAGACGCTGACTCAGCAGTTTGGGGGATCCCGCAGCTCCAGCACATTCCAGCGGCTTCAGCCCCAAATCCCCGGCAGTGCCTTTAACCCTTCTGCTCCCAGTGCCCACCAGTTCACCAGCACCTTCACTGGTGTGTCCCCAGTTCCCCAGCACCCTCACTAGTGTGTCCCCCCACTTTTACTGGTGTCCCCTTTCTCCTTTCACCCTTAGTGATGTCTTTCCCCCCCTCACCCTTAACTGGTGATCCCCCCCCTTCTCCTCCCGGGGGTCCCCCAGCCCCAGCTCCTGCTCCTGCTCCTCCTGGAATTTGGGGCTGCTGGAAGCTGAGTGATCCCGGGGACTCACCTGAGGGGCACAGAGGGGGCCCCTCCAAGAGCCTTCCCATTCCCAGGCCAAGAAACTGGGGGCAGCAAAGCAGGGGGACCCCAAGTCCCTGGGATTTGGGGAGCAGGAATTCCCTCCCTCAGAGCTGGGGGAGTTTCCTTCCCATCATTATTAAACCCTTTGGGAAATTGGGAATTTCAGGAAAATCCCCATTTTTGACAGGATCCAGAGAGCTCCTAACAGCTCATGGGGGAGTGGGGGGGTGGTTTTATATTTCCATGGGAAACAGGATTAAATTCTGGGAGTAACGCAGAGCTGCAGTGTCCTGGCAGGTCTCTGCCATGCTTCCCATTGCCCCCCTAAAGCTGGGGGGGGGTAAACCCTGACCCCCAATGGTGTTGGAAGCACTCTGGGGTGCACCATGAGAGCCCCAAAACCTGCCCACCCTGCTGTCCCTCCACCTCCCCATCCCAGTTACAATCCCCTGTGCTGCCTCCACCCCACCCCACTGCTGGAAAAGGGGCTCCCCAGACCCCCCCCAAAATCACCACAGGGGGGGCCAGGTGCGATCCAAGGGGTGCAGGAGGCCTTTATTGAGCGGTCCAGGGGAGGAGGAGGAGGATGGGGGGGGCAGGAGGAAGGATTTGGGGGGGGGCTCTGTGCATCTATACAGGGGGGCCAGGCCAGCCCCGGCCGCTACATGGTCAGTTCCTGCGGGAGAGACGGCGAGTCAGGGACCCCCGGGGTCACCCCAGGTCCCGCTGGGGAGGGGTCCCAGCCCAGCCCCACTCACCATGATGGCGTTGACGATGTCGTTGTTGTTGTGCCGCAGGGCCCGCACGGCTTTGGGGCGGGACACGTTGGCCTGGGCCATCACCAGCTCGATGTCCCGCACCTCCAGCCCCGTCTCGTCCACCTGGGGAGGGGGGCACAGGGCTGTCACCCCCCCCAAAGGCACCCACCCAGGGCTTCGGGGGTCCCCCAGCACCCACCCCGGGAGCCCCTCTGTGTCCCCTCCCAGGGCACACCACACTGGCCGGGGCCATCCCCAGCTCCTCCAGCCCTATTCCCTTCACCTGGGGGGGGAACAGCTCCATTACCCCCCCCATATCACCCCCCGAGCCCCCCCCAGCACCCACCTCCTCCTCCTCCTCGCTCTCCTCCTTGATGGCGAGGGCGGGGGCCGCGTCTGTCACCAGGGCCGAGTGTTCCAGCGGCACCTTGAACTTCTCGGCCGCCGCTTTGTGCACTTGCTGGGACAGGTCCTCGATCTGGGGGGGCACAGGGAGGGTCACTGCCGGCCCCCCCCCGGGGCAGGGACACCCCCCCCCACGCACCTCGGACCCCCCAGCCCACCTTGGCCTCCCCGAAGACGATGTAGATGTCGGAGGCGGGGCTCTTGAACACGTCGGGCTTGGAGATGACGAACAGGATGTTCTTGGACTTGCGGATGGTGATGCGGGTGACGCCGTGGATCTGCCGCAGCCCCAGCTTGGACATGGCCTGGGGGCACGGGGGGGGCACGGGGTGACCCCCTGCACAGCACCCCGGGGGGGGCTCCAGCCCGCCCAGTTACACCCCAAATCCCCGGGATAACGGGGAAAATGGGGATGGGGGATGGAGGACGTTGTCCCTGGCACAGCCAGGATGGGACCCCCAACCCAGGGTGGGGACCCCCAGACACTCCCCAGTGTGGCCTGGAGAACCCCCTGGAGTGGGGACTTGAACCCCAACACCCCAGAACTAACTGCCCCAAAAACCTGGGGGGAAATAAGGACCCCAACCCCACGGGTGAGCCCAGCCCCACCCCAGCGTGACCTGGGGACCCCCAGCGTGGGGACCAGACCCCCAACACCCCAGGACTGACCCCCCTGCGCGAGCCCTGGGATGGGGATCCCAACCCCACATAGGGACCCCCAGTTCCCTTTGGGACCCCCCAGTTCCCTTTGGGACCCCCCACCTTCCGCGCCTTCTTCTCACTCCGGCTCTGCTTGGCCTTGCTGAGCGGCTCCTCTCCGGGGCCGAGCGCGTGGCCCAGGGGCACCTGCAGAGAGGGGGGGTCAGGGGGGCCCCCAGCACCCCTGGGGGGGGGGTCCCACCAACCCCGACCCCCCAAACCCCCACCTGGGGCTGGGCGGGGGGCGGCTCCGAGCCCTCGGGCTCCTCCAGCTCCGGGATGGACTCGTCGTTGCTCTCGGATTCGTTCCCGGACCCTGGGAACGAAGGGGGGCGGGTGAGAGGGGGCCCCCGGACCCCCCAAGCCCGGGGGTACCCAGGGCCCCCCCCCTCACCTCGGTGGTTGGGCTGGCAGCGCTGGGGGGCCGGGTCAGCCCGGGGGGTCTCAGCCTCGCTGGACGAGCTCGACTCCGACTGCAGAGACCCCCGGGGGGGCCCCCGGCCCCCCCCCAGCCCCCGGCCCCGCTGCTCGGCCCCGGGGCTCCGGCTCCTTCTGCGGGGGGGGGCTGAGGGGCTGCGGGGGGATGGGGGGCTGAGCCGAGGGGTCCCCAAAACTCCTCTGGGGGGTCAAACCCCCTGCTCACCTCCATCACCCACCCCGGGACCCCCCCAAAGGCACATCCCCCCCCCCAGGTGCCCACCCTGGTGCCAAGAAATACCCCGGGAGGGGGGCTGAGCTGAGGGGGGGGAACCTCCCATGGGGGTGAACCCCCCTGCTCACCCCCATCACCCACCCGGGAACAACAACGCCCCCCCAAAGGCACTCCCGGCCCCCCCAAGTGCCCACCCTGGCCCCACACAATCCCCTATGGCAGTGGGAGGGGGCTGAGCTGGGGGGGCCCCCAAAACCCTTCCATAGGGCTGAACCCCCCCCGAGACCCTCCCCAGCCCCCCCACGCCAGACCCACAGCCACGGACAAATCTGGGGGGGGAGAGGGGGTGTCTCTTACCTTCGAGGTGCTTCCTGGAGGGGGGCAGCCCCGGGGGGGGGTCCTGGCCGGGGAGGGGCCCGGGGGGGGCCGGGGCCAGCAGGGACACGGCGGCGGGAGGAGGCACTTGGCTGAGTTTGGGGGGCGCAGGGCGGGGGGGCTCGGGGGGGGTCGGCTCCTGGGGGGGCCCCTGCTGAGCCCCCACAGCGGGAAGGGGGCTGGAGGAGACCCCCCCCACCGCCTCCTCCTCCTGCTGCTGCTGCTGCTCAGGGGGAGCTGGAGGGGATCTTGGGGGGCCGGGGGGGCTTAGGGGGCCACCCTCCCCCGGGACTTTGGCATCGGTGCCCCCCTCAGTGGGGCCGGGGGGCTCAGGGCCCGGCCGGGGGGTGGGGGGCTCCTGCAGGGGCGGGGGCAGGTCCCCGAGGGCCCCCCGGGGCAGGGCGGTGACCCCCGGGCCGGCCCCGCGCCCCGAAAAGGCACCGGGTGGTGGGAGCGGCTCGGGGGGGGCCGGGGGGGTCCCCACAAACACCTCCCGCTCCGAGGCCGTGAACAGCGGCGGGGGGGCAGCGGGACCCTCCTCATCCTCCTCCCCCTTCTCTTCTGCCTCTTCCTCCTCCGACGCCTCCCCGAGGGCGCAGGGGGGGCTGGGGGTCCCGGGGGGGCGTGGGGGGCTCTCCCTGGCACTGTCGAGGCTGGAGTCGGGGCGGGAGTGGGACACGTCCGGCAGCTCTGGGGACGAGACGGTGGCCGTGTCCCCCCACCCCTCAGGGGGCTCGGGGACCTCCCTGGGGGGCTGTGACAGTGACCCCTGTGACGGGGGGCACGGGAGGGCAGCCGGGGGCTCGTGGGACAGGGCCACCTCAGCTGCCAGCACCACGGGGGACACGGGCTGGGGCGGGGGGCTCGGGGTCACCGGGGCACTGGCCGTGGTGGCCACCGGGCTGGGGGTCACTGGGGTCACCGGGGCACTGGCCGTGGTGGCCACCGGGC